GGAATCCACGATCATCATGATTCCTAAACCTAACAAGAACCCCACGAAATCCGTCAATCAGCGGCCGATAAGTTTAGTTCCAGCGATGAGTTTAGTTCCAGCGATGAGTAAGGTGACGGTGGGCGTCATCCTGAAAATATTCGAGGACCATATTGGACGAACAGTTTAGATTCAGACCGGAAAGCAGAAACAATGGTGAAATCAACCGATTCTTTTCTAACCGAAAGACGATGACAATGCAAAGTAGGGGAGAAACTCTCCACCATGGCTTAGTTCTTCCACTATGGAACTAAACAGAATCAGATAAACTGGTAGTCGAAGCTCCAGTGGCTAATTTCAAACGAAAACGAGGTCAGACTCGAATCTCGCTGACGTTCCAAGCAGCAGGTTCATAACAGCATACATGTGAAATCAAATCATCTAAAAGAACTATTCGTTCAGGCCAGTCTCAAATTACCTACACTGTAGGTTAATGGACTGACACCTATCAGAAATTAATTACTCCCCTGGCTAATACCACGAAGGGTATTGCATTATATCTGACAGGTGTCAATGCAGGATTCTTCACTAAAGTTATTCCTGCATATGCTATTGGTTATACAATTGCCGCAATCGATTTTAAATTATTGGAACACACTTGCAGACCGGTATCGGGCTGTTTGGTCACTTGTCAGTGCAAGATAGTGTCGATCATCAACATAAAGTCGATGATTTATGATTATTAAAAATCGAATTCTTTCAGAGTATCATTCCTCGAATTAGGCTGAAGCACAAACAACATGTTTGTCATCGACTCATCTGCCTGTAAAGGAGTAACTTCACAAATTGAGTGGGCATACTTGGAAACGGATTGTAAATCAAATTATGTAAAAGAACAATTCATTCAGGCCAGTCTCAAATTACTTGGCCAATACCACGAAGGGCGTTGGATTATATCCGACAGGTGTCAGTGCAGGATTCTTCACTGAAGTTATTCCTGCATATGCCAGGTGAGTAATTATTTTCTGATAGGTGTCAGTCCATTAACCTACAGTGTAGGTCATTTGACACTGGTCTAAACGGATTGTTCTTTCAGATAATTTGATTTACAGCCAGTCAATTTGTGAAAAAAAACATTTGATATCTCTGGCAACACCGCAGTCTTACTGACAGTATTCACAGATTCAACCCGAAAATTTCACTTGTGCTGCAGTGGAAATGAAAAAGCAGTCACAAAATTAACTTCAGGTAAGCGTAACAATGTTGCAAAGTGTGAACTCACTTTGTCCTTGTTTATTTAAATATTAAATAAGAAATGCAGCAAAATGTAGGATTCTTTAGCATATGTATTTTCCACTTATTGGTAAAAGTTCATTTTGAATGCAGATACATTTAAAAATCAGAAAAATGTATAATCATTGAATCGTTGAAGCAGGAAGTATATATACCTGTATGAAATTTGAATACCTTTGCTTGAATCTAACCCAGTAATCAAGAGTTCGGATCGTTCGAAGTGATCCAAATTTCGGTTGCGAAATGCCTCATCATGGTAATGTTAGCTCACGCAAAGCACGTGTAGACATGAATAATTAAAAAAAAAGAGTCGATGTCTAACTGCAGGTATTCACCTGATTTATCGCCTAATGACACTTTTATCTGTTCCGTATAATCGGACGAAAGTTGCGTTGATTACATGATGATTACCCCAGATTTGCATTTGTTTCATGAAGTGAACGTGCAAGTACAGTGTGAAAATTCAAATCACTTTCACAATTTCAAGTAACTGTTTTTCAGTTCAGCAGACATTTTCTGATCATCTTTGTAGGGAGAAGTGAATGTTTGAAATTTCAATTCGAAATATTCATTTTCTTAGTTCGTATACATATATCACTTGTCACATACTCTTTGAATTAATTTATTATGGCTTGTTCAGTTTGTCGAAAATATTCATCACAGTTTTCGCAACTTAGTTCGTAAATACTAGAACTATTAGTATATGTAATTATTTTAACCTAAATCTGTCTGTTGAAGGTATCACTGTGAGTGTTGTAAATAAGTTGAGTTAACTACATGAAATTTGGAAAAAATGTCATGTCACCAGGAATCTTTACTCATACCATATAAATTAATGAATATTTATAACTATTGAATGGGCCTGGCCTGTGTGGTTATTGACCACCTTGCCAAAATAGTAAATTCCGTTATAGTTCAAAGCTTCGTAAATTGAATACATCAACAATAATACGTTACGGAAAAGAAACATCTCAACAGATCAGAAATACTGTTTTTCAAAATGTTATTATAGGGATATTGTGGAAATGTTTTGGTTCTGTTGAAAAATTTAATCGCACCCATTATCATTGAATATGTTTATAAGTTCCATCGACTATTGAAAATGTCTAAGTTGTCATGTTGGCAAATATATTGTTCAATAATCACAGATGAAACAATATAATTAATGTTTACACAAAGATTTTCAGCAACCTCTATATCCAAAAATTCTTCTTTCAAATAACCCGAAATAATTGTGGGGAAATTTTTCTTTAAAAGACCAGGGGATCCCAAATTTTTCTTTTGAAGATATCGATCTTGGTTGCGTTGGAGAAATTGTTGATAATAGAGGAATGCGAGATATTTAAAAACCTAGGGAAAAAATTGAAACATTTTTTTTTCACTTATACCACCTTGATATTTTGAATTTTTAAGTAAAGAATTGAAAAGCACACAGTAATGATTCTTATAATTTTATACTTTTCTGCATGGAGAATCAAGAGCTGTTGCGCTTGATATTTCTAATGCCTTTTACCGTGTGTGGAATGAAGGCTTGCTGACCAAACTTCTATGCAATGGCTTGCCGGATCATTTCTCTCATATCTCTCGAATACTTTCACCATCAACGCTGGTGATTCCTAGGGATCCATATTGTCTCCAACCCTCTTTTTATTGCATATCAACGACTTATTGGAAAAAAAAACAAGAATCCAATATATTGCTTTGATGACGACAGCACACTTGTCTCGACATTTCATTTGGATTCGAGGTTATCGGCTACGGAGGCACATCTTCACCGGCAGCAGGAGGTTGCATATCTTAATGAGGATCTAGAAGTGATTTCGAATTGAAGTGAAAGTAACCAGGTTCAATTCAATGCCACAAAAAGCCAGGCATCGGTTTTCTCCAAGATAATGGATGTCTCCAAACCGGATATAATAATGTCAGGTCAGACAATTCCGCTTTCTGTTTCGATAAGTTTGTTGGGGGTTAAAATGGACACCAATATGTCTTGGCACAATCATGTTGCTGTACTTGCAAAGGCTGCTTCTCAAAAGCTTGGAACACTGTTCCGAACGAGAAAACTGTACACACCTTAGATTCTTCTAAATATACTTTCACGGGAGGTGTTCAAGTGACTTGGCATATTTTATTTCACCAAAAGCGGTACATGTCAGAAATAATCCACGAACTGTGGCTGCTCATCGTTTTGAGGTTCAACTGAGTACACCTCGAACTTCAGTTTCACCTGAAGAACTGAGTTTATGTGGAATATAATTCCTGAAAACTTATAGGACGAAACTGCAGTTAGTTACAAATACAAGTGGTAAAAAAATAGAGAGTTTCATTTCTGGTTTTTCGTACATTCGAAAATCAGGTGTCTTTGGGCTGAATGAATATAATAATTAATTTGAAAAAATGGAAACTTATGATTTTACTGAAAAATTAATCACAGGCAGGTATCATTTGTTATATTCCGAATCACTGAATAGAGAAATTCAATAATTATATTTTGGAGATCAGAATCTACTCTCGTTCTCACAACAGAAAAATCAACTATACTTTGCAGTTTATTGTTTAACTTTTTTCAAACCTTCTCGGCAGATGTAAAAGGAATTAGAAAAGTTTAAAAACTCGATACACAATTCAAGTTATTTTGTAATACTTTTTTGCACTCTTCAATTTTTTTGTGATAATTTCAATATTTTATAAAGTAGGTACGTTTTGATCTATATATTCACAAATTTTCACATTGCTATATCACTATATAGTATAAAACAAAGTCGCTTCCTGCTGTCTGTCCCTATGTATGTTCAGATGTTCAAAGCTAACCAAGCAACGGATTCTGATGCGGGTTATTCAAATACAGTGATCCAAGACGAAAGTTTATATGTATATACCATGCATAATATAGTAGAAAAACACTGATGATTTTAAAGGTTTCTAATGTGATGTCCTAAATAAACACGCTACGCTTACGCTTACATTGCCTTAAGGCTCACAAAAAAGTCCGCGATGGTATATGTCTATCTCTTGAGGATAACCCACAAGCAATACAGCATTAATCCTCATCCAATTAAGTACTTTAAATATATTGTGCATTTAATATAAATCAATATGGCCCCCTACAGCACCTAATTTAAATCAATAATTTCGAAGACATAACATATTGAAGATGCAGGGACATAGCGGTTGCAGCGGTACCGGCCGGGGGGGCGGAGGCGCTTTGAAGGCTGCGCTTTGCTCTATATCACCTTATGATTAGCCAGCGATCTCGCGTGTTTATATGTATATTCAGTATCAGCATTGCACCCGTGCGGTGCCGGGTCGGGTCCCTAATACCTGATAAAAGACAGATGAAACCTATCTATGAAAATATTCATTCGTTTTGTTGGAAATAGACTCTTCAATGAAGCATATTAAAAAACATAATCAGATACTCATTGATGATTGGAGTATAATTGGAATTCAATTTTATAAGTTACCGAGGAGCTTTCAAAACGGTAAATTTTGATTTATATTTGCAACCCAGCTCTATTATTAATTCAATCCGTCAAAACAATGTGGTATTCCAACCAGGCAGTAAAATATTTCAGGAGACTGACAGTAGGTATTTAGTCGGTAATAAAAATAAAATCGCAATCAAATAAATCAACTGATCGTTACATCCACCAAAAAATAACCGAATCGAATGAAAAACCCGTTATGTGATAAAACATTCAACTCGCACCGAAGACAAATTCACTCACCGGTAAAGTATACACGCTCTGATGTCGCCCTGTCTAGTGCACTACAGATAAGAAAGAACTCCACTACAGGAGGACCATCGACCTCTTATAAGCGCCTAAAGGAGGGGAGGAGTCTCCAATGTCATCGACAAATGATTTCATGATTTTTTTTTCATTTGTTGATGCATGTTGGTTGCACTAATCACCTGACTTCGATGGAACTGACATTCGGTATTCATCTAGGTGTGAAAAGAATAAAACAAAAATTTCGAATTTTTATGAAGAAAGAGTGGAAAAATGTATATGAAATATTTCATGCAGTAATTTAGAATCAAATATTACTTTACAATCAAATCGCACGTAAAACATCGCTAATCGCACAAAACTTTTTTGAGAGTTGTTCATTTGGAGATGACAGCTGATTACTGAAAAACTCGACTTTGAACTTCATGTAAACCCATTTAGGTATATAAATAGACCATTCGATTGAAGAAACTGAAACATGAAATACCTTTTAGAATGTCTAAAAAATCTTTGAGGATAGATTGTCCAATTTTTACAAAACTCGGATTTTTTCTAGTTGAAAATGGCTTTCGTTCAATATAGATAATAAGAATTTTTTATCGAACCTGATTATATTTATATACTTCAAAAACTCCTTTGATATATCCTTTGAAAGAATTTTTTGTGGAGGATTCGGGCAGAATTGAGCCTCCGAAACGTTAGGATAAGTATCGGTATAATTTCCTACACCTATTTTTTTGATAGGCAACATTATCAAATAGATAAGTTACTAATGAATAGAACGCTTTCGAAAGTAGACTGTATTATTGAATGAAACTAGATGGACGTCATTTTGAACACTTTATCCGTTGATTGTGTTGCCATTTTTATTACTTTTGTTGATTTGCTCAATAAAATGAGCTACGGCGAATTGTCTGTGTTTTTTTAAATAAAACGTTCAATATTTAATTTCTCAATAACGAATGAAGCAATTAAAAAAAAAAATACAGAAGTAATAGACGGACGAAAGACCTTTCAAATGATGTATAACTCAACCCCCCAGGTCATTGAAAAAAATTGGGAGGGTGGTTGCTGACCGCAGGGGGGTGAAGTTTCGGGTATGGTTTCCATATCAGAATTAGTTCCCCTAGAAATAAAAACTGATATGTTCTTTGAAATATTCGATAACACGTCCGTTTCTGACTTACAGGGGGAGTCAACGGAACGTATTCAATTTTCTTATCGATAGATACTATACTATGTTATCTTGGCAAGACTTTACAAATCAAAGAACCTAATGAAGAAATATAAATTTCGACTTTTCAGATTTTGAACTCCATTTTTGGAGATTTGAATATTTCTCCGTTTCTGAATATATTCATCATGTGTGATGTGTAGGCTTACCATAATTTCGGACCACCAATCCAGGACTTCTTTTTTAATTGCTGGAAGCCAATTCCGGACAATCCCAGTCATTTGTAAGTACGTATAGGGGAAAAATCATAATTGTATAATAAATAAAAAACAACATCTCAGTTGCAAATTCAACCTTTAATTATTCATTAACTGTCTATTCTAAGTATTTGTATTAGTTATTTAATGATATAACTAAAGTAAAGTCAATTTACCTAATCTACTGGATCCTGCTGATCTTCTGATTGTTGGCCTTCGGCTTCAGTTTGACGAGGTTGATATTTTTCTAATGACAGAACCTTATTTAGGAACATATTATCATTCATGATTTATTCATAAAAGTCCACGCAAGACAACTTCGAATTTATTTTTATATTAAGAAGTTCCCTTACCACTGAAATTGACATGCGTCCTTTTTCTGCACTCCATACGTTGCCCATTATTGAAAATACCCTCTCCACTGGTGCTCATGTGCCTGACAAGCCCATCCCAAATTCCACTAATTTGAAAATATTCTTGAAGTGGATGTTGCATATTGACATAGACTCAAATACTTCTTTCCATTTCTCTTGTGTCGTCGTGGGTCTTTTTTCTTCAGACAGGGCTTTCCACTTTGGTACCAGTTCACCAATTACATCACAGCAACATTTTTTCTCATCAAACAACTGATCCATGTCAACTGAGTTGGGTACTATTTTGTTGACAATCAGTCCACTCTCTTCTAACTCTGCCTAGGTAACGTCTACTGTTTCCAATTACAACCATGAAAATTTGTCCGCTCCATCAAAACTCGATCCCCACAGATTTAAGTAGTTTATACCAGCGTCATAAAATCCTGTTATACTCTCATAAAACACTTCTTCTTCGACTTCACCCTCTGTTTTAAGTGGGGTTAAAAATTGTTTAGCAGCAAAAGGAACAAATTTCTGTGTTTTTCTCTCTTCCAGATGCCTTACCAATTGTAAAACGGTGTAAAAATAGCAGCGTCACTATTGCCAACGGCTAGACAACGCAAAGTCAAATTTCTCCATTTCCCCAACTCCACATAAAAAATCCCTGACTTTTGTCAATCCCGGAATCTTTCCCGGACAAATGGTTGAATCCCGGACTCTCCGGGCTGATCCCGGGCGTATGATAAGCCTAGTGATGTGTGCCAATGTTTGTGTGAATCACTCAGAAGGTTAAGGTCTCATTTTTCTTTCGTGTTGTCGGTAGGTAGATAGTTACTTATCTATTTTAAATTAAAACTGATGGTTGTTGGCATAATTTCGTTTGATTGAATTTTATCAAAGGTGATTATTATTAGTTACAAGCAAGTCACAAGCTATTTCTCTCTATTTGAAAACAGAAGTTTCCCTTCAGAAATAAGTACCAATCTCCTCTTTAACAGTTTACGTTACCATCAGGGGTCCAAACTTTTGCAAGTTGAAAATTAACAAGGAATCTATTACTTTATAACCTATATGGGTACTTTTCGTTACGTAATGTACGACTACTATGAAGCTGGTCTAGTAGATTCCTAGCTTACGCTTCAAACCCTCTATATGTGAAAGGGAAGTACATCTAAATATATATGTCACCACTTATCTTGTTCCATGTTCTCATAGAATGAATGTGACACATCTAAAACGAGTTTTTTTAGAGCAAACTTTTATTATTGTTTAATATTAGTAATAAAAAAAATTGTAAGGGTTTTTTTAATGTAGTTACACCACTGTAGCTAGATTTCGAAATCTGTTCATCATTAAAAAATGTGTACATAAAGAAAGTTTGAATTTCTCAAATTTTCTTTACTTTTTCTTAAAACTTTTTTATTGAACAGGTTTCATGAAATTCTGGACAGGTCACATCAAAACCTACTGAATCCAGTGGACTGGTCAGAAAGTTCTGAAATTGAGTTGGTGGGATAATTGAATGATATATTGTTCAAATCTCATTCCCATATAACTTGTAACTATGTGAATCCAGTGATAGTGTGGTGAGATGAAAAAATGCTAATATTTTTTTCGATTTATGACATTGAGAATTAATTCATAGTTTGGTGTTTTAGTAGACTTCTTGAATGTTTACCTAATGAAAAGAAAAATTGTAACAGGGTCTTTCACGACGAGCGTTCGTTAGGAATATATGGAGAACGATTCAAAAGAAAAACGTGAAATTTTGTGGTAGTGGGTTTAGAAAATGGCCTTCTCAACTGAAATATTTTCAACTTCCGGTATTTCGAATGGAACATTTTTTGAATTTCTTCGCACATTTCAGGCCCATTTTGTATAACAATGCCTATACCCAAATTTGTTAGTTTTCGAGATATTAATTATTTTCGGAAAAATTTGATAGTTACAGCACCACTCTGAAAAAATCATAACTCATAAAAAGTAACAGTTGAATATGTGAAATTTCACAGAATCACACCTTGAGCATCAAGTCATGAACAGGTCCATCGAATTTTCGAAAATAATTTACAGGGTGGTCCAAATTTCCACCTAAAACATAACATCAATAAAACTGATGAAACACGATTTTTTCAAATGGAAACCATACACTATTCCATTATTTGTGTATACTACGAAAAAAAGATATTGAATTCATGAAGAATGTCCTATACCTAAAATACACCCCTGGCAAAATATATCCAATTTTGCGAAATATTTGAAATGTAAATCATTTGAAGCAATACCAAACCAAGAAAGCTTTGAAAACAAATAATTTACAACAAATATGTCAAAATTTCATGCGATATAATCGATGTGTATTTCTTAGTTTTCTATTTATGTGCAAAACGTCTCGTTTGGGGTATTCTAATGAAGATTTCCTGAATTTAATAATAATTTATGGTGAATGCAATAAGATAATGGACAGAACTTGTCGTGTTTTTGCAGAAAGATTTCTAAATCTACACAGACCCAATAAAAATATTCTGAGAAGACTTCTTAGAAACTGCCGTGATTTCGGATCTTTTTCGTCTGCCATCAACAAAAAAAACTCTCTTAATCAATCAGGACATCAAAATTGTAGTTTTGGCCTACTTCACAGCCTATCCAGAAAATTCGTTGAAAGACGCAGAAAAGTCACTTAGAATTTCATGTTCGTCAATAAACCGGATTTTAATCAAACATAAGTGGCGTTCCTTTAAATATCACCAGATTCAAAATCTGAAACCTCACGACTTACCTGCACGAGTGGAATTCTGCGAATGGCTTCTTATCAAGATACAGGAGGAACATGAGTTCATGAAGAACATGATATGGACAGATGAAGCCAAATTTGACAAGAATGGTATGTACAACCACCATAATGGTAATTTTTGGGCAGCAGAAAATCCAAAGCTCGTTCGCCAGCGCAACTTCCAGAATTCATTGAGTTTTAATGTTTTTTGCGCTATAAAGGAAGACCGAATTTTATGTTCATAACTTTATGAAGAGAATTTGTATAGCGATAGATATTCGCATATAATTAGGAATGTAGTTGGTGAATCCACAAGGCATGTTTCTGAACAATAACGTTTCAAGTTATGGTATCAGATGGATGGAGCCCCTGCACATAGTACTGATACCGTTGCCGGGTGTTGAATGGGATGTTCGAAGATCAGTGGCTTTGCTACAATGGGCCATTTAAATTTCCTCCCCGCTCTCCAGACCTGACGCCACTGGACTTCTTCATCTGGGAATATATCA